GGAATAGTATTGATGTTGTTAGATTTACCATACCTGCAATATCTTTGTTCCTTGTAAAAATCTTTTGACCATGTTCATTCACCTCTAAAATGTGTTCTGATATAGTACATTCATTGTATGTATGTTCCATCCAATACATTTGGTTTGTTTTATGGCGATTGCAACACTACACATTGACAAATCCTATAAAAGTCAAATGTGTAATTTTTCTTATTATCTAGCAGTAGTGAAACAAGAAATTACAATTATTAGTTGTTTATTGTTATAACTCTCCTGCTCTGCATTCCACTTAGGCAGTTAACACTTGTCAGAAAGTACAAAAGTCCCTATCATAATAAATTCTTTACTTTTAATATAAATGATCGGTAATAAAATATTCAGTGGAAACGCAAGGACAACTCTTATTTATTTTTCTACACTGTTTATATCTTCTTGTAGCACCTAGGAAAGTAAAGTAACTTATCTGAACTTACGACCGCATAGGTAATCAGGATGAAAAATTCTATATGCTCCCCCAAAAAATGAAAGCAAGATTAAGAGAAATATATAAATATTTTTCAATATGTAGAGGTAACTGAGTAAAATTATGTTACTTTTCTTCTTTAGTGCAGATTCATTTGAAAAAGGAGCTGATTCGACTAGGATTTATATAGTAAATGCCCATTATGTAAAAGACTTTTATGATGTTAGCTACTATTAATTCATCACATGTCTAGTATGTATGTATAATCAGTGAGCTAACATTCCCACCAGATGGCAATGTTAAGACTTCTGTTGCTATTTGATCGTTTATAGATATGTGTACTTATTGGAGAAATGATTGCTGAACTCGAGGTATTTGTTAATAAAGCTCATTTCAATTTTTCTCTTTGTTGAATTCACCCATGTTTTTATAATTTTTAAATTTGACTGTCTCTAATGTCAAAGAAAGTGAGGGTTATCATACTAAGGAAATCATTTAAAGTCATTGTTACTGGTGGTTAATAAGACCTCTTTTGAACTAACTGTTGAAAGCATTATAAAGTGTTTAATATAAAATAGTGTTTACCTACTATCTACAATACTTAATAAAATCAAAACACAGGGCTAATTAGAGATTGTTTATTAAGAATACCAGAAACAAGGGAAGTTGAAAAAATTCTCCTTGAGTTGCATAATCAAAGGAGTTAAATGTTACTGAAAAGTGGGATGTAAGGAAAAGTGGACAACTTATATTTCATAAAACAAAAGTGAAAAAAAAGGAAAGAAGAAAATCAGCTGTTCAATTCTTCACACTGGCAAACGTCTATTTTTCTGGCTTATAAGAGAGTTCCTCGATTAAAATCTTCATAAAAAGAGCACAAGGATGACTCTTAGTATTACCACAAGAGAAATCTCATCATATATCTCATGAAAAGATAAATGTCAGTGGTACCCCCCCTGAATTATATTTTTGGTAGCTTTTGTTTCTTTGAGTTATTTTGTTGCTTGTATTTAGTGAGCATCTGTTCTCTGGTTAGGATTAGCATTTATACTCATCCTTCCTCAACTAGCTAGCTACACTGAGCTAGCTGTACACACTATAGGACATTAGTCAGTGACAAGGTCAGTTAGCATTTTAAAGTAAACAGTCATGGCAATTTGACAAAACAATTTTGTCTTTTGAAGTTGAATGTTAAAAATGAGGTTTACATTTTTATTTCCTTTTTCATTGTTCTAGTAATTCATTTTAATGTATTTTATAAAAATATTACTACAGAAGGAGCGGAAGGGGAGTTTGCTGGTCTTTCTCCACAGATGGTTGGGACACACTGGTTTTTTACCTCTCTAATTTATCTTTTTTTTTTTAAAAAGATTTATTTATTTATTTATTTATACAAGCACTGGGCACGGTCAGGCATGGGAGGGTGAGAGAATTCACCAGAGCCAGAGAGGAGAGTAGTACAGGCAGAGTGACGAAGTACACTGCTGAGGGGAGCAGCGGGCAGCAGGAGAGGTCTGGGCGCCATGTGGGACCCTCATCCGGTAGCCAGGGATCGAACCGGTGCTGCAGAGGCTGCGGGCAGCAGGAGAGGTCTGGGCGCCATGTGGGACCCTCATCCGGTAGCCAGGGATCGAACCGGTGCTGCAGAGGCTGCGGGCAGCTTCACAACCCGGCGCTCAACCGCTGCGTCAATAGGGAGGCCCTCAAATTTATCTTTAAAATGATTCCATGTCTTTATTCTCTATACAATTATGACTATGAAGCAGAAGTTTTTTCTCCATGATACCATAACCTTTCCTTTCCTTTGATACAATAACATTGGATAGGAAAGCTGTGAAATTATGTTTTATACTAAAGTCAGACAACTGACAAACTATCTTATCAAACAGTCATCAAACTGAGATTTGACACTAACTTATGCCTTTTTCATTTTTTATCATTAAAAAATGATCATAAGAGTGAACAGAAGTCACATTCAAATAAAATGTGATAAACATAAGATTTTGCTTCTAGAAATACCTAAACCTCATATTCCACAATGTATCATTCTTCAAAAGGTCTGAAAACCATTTGTAATAAGGATAAATCCACTGGAAACAATGATTAAATAATACTTGTGTCACTGTTGAATCTTTTGGGTCAGACCCTAAGTGTTAGAGATATTCAGAGGAAGAGGAAATTATTTTCTTCAACTGCCTAACCAAGTTGTAACCTCTACTTCACATGTGTATCTGACATTCAGTGCAGTGGTTAACACAAGTAGGTGTTTACCACATGTTTTGTTTTGTTTTTAAAGAGCAACCTGATGTGTTTTGAAGGATCCTCTTGAAAAGATGAATAGAACTCATATAAGACAAAAAAAAAAAAAGCTTTTGCATATGTTTTTTTTTTAAACAATAGTCACAAGCCCCTTTATGATCAAACTACTTACTGAATATACCAATGCAGATTTTAGTATTCTCCAGTGTTTTTAGCAAAAAATGTTGACTTTGTGGTATAAAATAAGATAGGGCAGTGATTCTCATTCTCTTTGAATGAGAGAGGGTAATGATGTTGTTGTTGTGTTTTTTTTTTTTTTTTCAAAAATAAAACTTCTGATGCAAATGATGACACAAGTAACCTAATCACTTGTTTCCTTCCAGTTAGCTTAACCAAAGTGGAAACTATGAAATGGAGCACAAATAGTAATCATTATTTCCTGTCTTTCGGTCTTTCCCCCACTCTGCCTGTATGTCAGCAAAGTTCTAAAGCTTTCTGAACTTTCATCTTTTTCCTGGCTTTGTAACTTGAGCTTGATTGCACCCTCTGCTGTGGGAGAAAACCATATTCAATAATCTTTAAAAAAGAAGTTATAAAAGTCTCCTTTATTTAGAAAGGATTAGCATGACAAAAAAAATCACATGGTTTAATTTATTTCCATTTCTCCTTCCATTTCATTTTTTCTTTGGTAGAAACCTGTGGGTTTATTTCCCACAGATAAACTACCAGCCAGACCTTGGCTCCCTTGAAGAGAGTTTTCCTTAAAAGCTGTCAGGAGTTTCCCCTACAAATACATGCTTGTAATTGGATCTCTCTGCTTTAGTAATAGTGATTCCAGATGGCTGCTTCTAGAGGAAGCAAGAATTTCCGGCTCCAAAAAAAAGATGTGGTAACAGAGCCTTCCCTCTCCCTCTTCCTCCCCCCAGCTGCTCTTAAGTGGTAGAACTGTATGCTTTGAACTACCTGACCGATCAGGTATTATGAGAAGACCTCTGGTGTTAGGCAGGTTTCTTTGTGGGAGAACTCTAGTTGGGTTCTTGTGGCTGCAGAGACCATGAAGAAAACACCAATTGAGCTTTTCTCTGCACCACAGTGACTGTCTTTTCTGTATCCATCACTGGATGTAAACAACTTGCATGAAGTTCAAGTCCTGAAGTGCAGTACATGGGACTCTGGTGGTTTTTAGGTTATCAAACACATAAACACATTAACAGCAAAGGAAGTGTAAGGTAGAAATGGAAAGCTCAGGCATAACTTTATTACCAGTGCTTGCTCTCTGCTAAACTTTACAAAACACCCTCTCCCAAATATCTCATTTTAGGCTGGTGAAAACCTGTGAGGCGGGGGAAGCAGATGTTTCACCTTATTTAACAGATGAGAAACTGAGGTTCTGAGAAGTTAGCTGATGTTGTGCCCACGTCGACCAGTGCAGCCCCCAAGGACACAGACAACCGATGCAAGGGCACAAAGGAGTTTAATACGGGCTCGAGACCGGGCCCTCGACACGCACCGATGCAACGGCAGAGGTCGAGAGCCCCGAACAGAGGAAGCTGGGACATCTTATAGGGTCGCGAGTGGCGGGAACTTTGAAAGAAGTTGGCAATTATTCATTGGCTACTACAAAGGCACTTTGGGCGCGCGCGGTTACAGTTTCAAACTGATTGGACGGTTAGAGATGCTGTCCCATTTATGGACAGGACTGCCCTCATTGGCGGCTGGGGTGGTCTGCTTTTTCGTCACCAAGTGGAGTGAGGGTTGTGACTGCTGAAACTATCTCCGGAATGTGGCTGGACAAGGACTAACATATCAAGGTGGAGGATATACAAAATGGCGAAACCTCAGCTAAGCTTGGTTCCACATTTCCCCATTTTTTTTTTTTTTGAAAAAAAAACGGCTAGTCAGTTAAGAAAATAACACAGCTACCAAGCCTTTTATCAGTTAGTCAGTCTCAGAATTATGGTTACGTTTAGTCACATTATGTGTCATTTTGTTGTTCATTCACAGGGTTATAGGTCCAGCAAAAGTTCTCAGCCACAAATGAGAATTACTCTGCTTAAACAAGAGATGTTTCTTTAGTTGTTTTTATCCCTGAAGCCTTCCTAAATTCCTTAGAGGTCCTCTTTTGTACTGTTCCTGAAACTTGTTTAATCACCCTAACTCGCCCTATGTCTCATTCCTCCCTTTTTGGGAATGGAGCCCCTAACTGCAGTCAGGGAAAAGGGGCGTCGTTCTGATCAGTAACTGCTTCCTGCTGAAAGTGGGCGATGAGGGGAAACAGTCAGGGCTCCACTCCTATGTATTGGGAGGGGTCCTGTTTTAGGGGTTGTTGGGGAGAGTTATATTGGCGTAAGGGGGCATATTGGGAGCGCAGCACCATTAACTGGACCGTGTTTACCCGTTGTTTAATAAAGGCCACGAGTCGATTAATGACACAGGGCCCGATAGACAGAATTAAGAAGAGGGTAACGACTGGGCCCAGAAGAGGCAAGAGATAGGGCAGCCATTCTCCTAAGCCTTCCCAAAGAAATGCATTGTTGTCTTCTAGCTTTTTTCTCCGGTGTTTTAGTTCCTCTTGTAATTGCTTAATTTTATTTCTAACTATTCCTGACTTGTTAGCATAGAAGCAACATTCTTCCCGCAGGTAGAGACAGATGCCTCCTTTCTTTGCTGTGAGAAGATCTAGCCCGCGGCGGTTTTGCAGGACCACCGCGGCCAAAGAGTCTAACTGAGACTGTAACTCTAAGGTTGTATCTGCTAGCCGCCCAATGTCCCCCACCAGCTGAGCTGAAATTTTTTGGTAAAGGTTAACAGAGGTCCCAATTCCAGCAACTCCGGTCCCCACTTCGGCTGCCACCCCCAGGCCGAGCAGTAGTGGGGTAATTATGGCCCGCTTATGTCCGGCAGGCACAGACTGGATGAGCTGTATGGGAAGGCTTTGGTTGCCTGGGACCACTCCCACATCGGGCATGAGATATGTTAAAATGCACAAGCCCGACCAGTTAGCAGGGAGTACGGGGTAGGCTGTGGTGCCACAGAAGAAAATAGTGCCCAGTGCCGGCGGGCACATAGAGGCAGAGCCATTAAAACTGGGCGCCTTAGTTGCACTGACTACTGAACTGCAGAGTACCTTATTTACTTGACCCACTCTTAAGGTCCCATTGTGACTAAGGCATGGCATCTGAGCAACTGTTGGGGAGAGCTTGACATTATTGATGGGCAAGGTCTGGTTACACGTATGGGTTGGGCCCTTTAGGTTTGTCCAATTAATCCAGTTGTACACAGCAGGGATCGCTGTGTAACGGGGGGGTCCTTCTCTTAGACATAACCAGCAATCGCTGGCCAGGGTTGGGTTGGTCTTGTTTAAAAATTGTAGGGCTGAGTCTAACATGGCCTGTACTGTCTTTTCCAATTTAAGGGAACCCACCGGGCCTGGGATGTGTATCGGCTTGAACCACCGATCCTGTGTTTGGGCAACTTGTTCAAAAACCCTCTGAACTTCCTGCTTTCGTGCGTGGTCTTGCACACCCCCACCATCTGTCATCCCCCAGTGGGTTTGCAGAGTCCAACAAAAGGGTTTTCCTGCTTTGACAGGGCATACATATCCCGCGTTATTTCCTAAGGATATACCAGTCCAGAAAGTTTGATTGGACTCTGTGCACTGATAAACAGTAGACCTTTCATAGCACTGTGAATGAACAAAGGTATAGGCTGAAAAACTCCCCCCCTCTTTACAGTGATTGCAACTTTCATTTTTAGGCGGCATTTGATTTAAACGCTTCCAACAGACCACCCTTCCCACTGTACCTGGACATCCATGGGTGGTGCCCTTAATCAGGGTCGCCACAAACAGAGGAACTCCCTTAAGGCTGCAAGCACGCTTACTAACATAGCACTTGCTCTGAATATGACCGAATATGCCTTCGGTGATGCACCGTCGGCAGGGATTCCAGTCAGCCCCGACAAGGAGAAAACAAAGGAAGGACAGTAGGTAGCCAACATTACAGTTTGGTGTCATTTTTTACGGCGTGGGCAGTGGTCTGGGAGCGATGGGTTGTAGCCGGGAGCGCCTGAAGAGTCAGCTTGAGTGGATTGGTGGGATGCTTCCGGGCTCGCCACTGCAGCTGGGAGTCGTCAGTTGGTGCCGTCTTGACGTGTGAGTGATGAACCCAGGCCGCGATGCCGTCCACTTTGAGTGCGGTGGGTGTGGTCAGGAGGACGATGTAGGGACCCTTCCACCGGGGCTGGAGGCCACGACCGTCGGTCTTGTGTCGGCGGACAAGGACAAGATCTCCAGGCTGAAATTTGTGGGCTGTCTGAGAAGGTCCTCCCCCTTCATAGAGCGCTCTGAGGCGGGGCCAGACCTCCTGGTGAGCCTGCTGTACAGCCCACACAGAAAGAAAAAGTTCACAATCAGAAGGCAAATCACAAGCTAACTGCGCACCGTGCGGTGTGGTTGGGGGGGCGGTTCCATAGATAATCTCGAACGGAGACAGACCCAGACGATAAGGGGAATTGCGAGCCCGGAAGAGGGCATAGGGAAGGAGAGTCACCCAGTCCCCGCCAGACTCTAAAGTTAATTTAGTTAAAGTTTCTTTTAAAGTTCTGTTCATTCTCTCCACCTGCCCTGAACTCTGGGGCCGATAGGCACAATGGAGCTTCCACTCTGCTCCCAGGGCAGAAGCCACAGATTTCGATACCTGAGAGACAAAGGCTGGTCCATTGTCTGACCCAATGGTCACTGGAAACCCAAATCTAGGAAAAATGTTTTCCAACAGGATTTTGGCTACCACTCGAGCTGACTCACCTCTTGTCGGGAACGCCTCCGGCCATCCGGAAAACGTGTCCACCAGGACCAGCAGGTATCGATAGCCAAATTTACCTGGTCTTACCTCGGTGAAGTCTATTTCCCAATGGACCCCCGGGCGCGTTCCTCGCGGCCTCATTCCTGGTTCACCGGTTGTCTTGGTGGCGTTTACCATGGCACACGACTGGCAGGATGCCACTACTTGTCGCACGGTACAGGTTGCGTCCCGGACATGGAGGTTCCATTGCCTGATTAGAGTTAGAATTTTTCTCTCTCCCAAATGCGTGGCTCGGTGCAAGCGCTGAATGAGATCAGTGGCCAAGTGTGCTGGCAAGATGGCCTTAGTTTCTTGGGTGTACCACCAGTGTCCCAAAGAAAAAGCACCCGGTAGAGACTGTATGTAGTCAAAGTCCATAGCACTATACTCTGGGTCTTCCGGCAGCTGCGGGTCCCCTGGGTCTGGGAGTTTTACTGTCAGGGCATCTACCGGCATTAGGGCAGCTTGGCGTGCTGCCTCATCCGCCCGCTTATTACCTTGAGTTGGAGTCGAGGAGTCCTTTTGATGACCTGGATGATGTACTATAGCCAGCTTACGTGGTAGCCACAGCGCTGCCAGGAGATCCATAATTTCTTGAGCGTTTTTAATGCCTTTGCCGTCGGAGGTTAAGAGCCCGCGCTCTCGATATATGGCCCCGTGTACGTGGGCCGTGGCAAATGCATATCTGCTGTCAGTATACACAGTTAAATTTTTTCCTCGAGCCAAGGTGAGAGCTTTGGTTAGGGCAATTAGTTCAGCCTTTTGAGCGGACGTCCCGGATGGCAAAGGCTCAGCCCATATGACTTCCTGCATGGACACCACTGCCGCCCCTGCCGCTCTTCGGCCCTCGTGGATAAAACTGCTCCCATCCGTAAACCAAACCAGTCCATCCGGCAGAGGGTTATCTCGCAGATCAGGGCGTAACCCTTGGACCTGGGCCAAGATATCAACACAGTCTAGATGGGCCTCCAGGTCAGGGGCAGGTAGGAGGGAGGCGGGGTTTAGCCCCGTGGGTGGCGAAAAATTGATCCTCTCTGGGTTGAGCAATAGGCTTTGGTAATGCGTGATTCGGGCATTACTCATCCACCTCTCTGGCGGCTGCCTGAGGACTCCTTCCACCGCATGGGGGGTGGTTATGGAAGTAACTTGTCCCAGAGACAGTTTTTGGGAGTCCTTGAAAAGGAGGGCAGCCGCTGCCACCATGCGTAAGCACGGTGGCCAGCCGGACGCCACCGGGTCTAACTTTTTAGACAGATAAGCCACAGGACGCCTCCAGGGGCCCAAGGACTGAGTGAGCACCCCTTTAGCTATGCCCTTTGCCTCATCTACGAACAAATGGAAAGGCTTTGTAATGTCCGGAAGACCCAGGGCTGGTGCAGACAGTAAAGCCCTCTTTAAGGACTCAAAGGACTGCTGCATCTGGGGAGTCCACTGAAAAGTTACTTTTTCCCGGGTAGCCTCATACAAGGGTTGGGCCAGGTCTGCGAATCCAGGTATTCATAGCCGGCAAAACCCAGCAGATCCCAGGAACTCACGTACCTCCCTTTTGGTGGTGGGTGTCGGTAACTGTAAGACAGTAGCTTTTCTGGCTTCCGTCAGCCACCTATAACCGTTTTTGAGGCGGTAGCCCAGATAGATTACCTCGGGCAGGCAAATTTGTGCCTTTTTTGCGGAGACGCGGTATCCCATCTGGCCCAGTTCCGTCAGTAATTCGGCTGTTCCTGTTCGGCAGGCCTGTTCACTTTCCGCTGCAAGTAACAGATCATCAACATACTGGAGCAAAGTTAGTTCGGGAAATCGGCTGCGGAATTTTCTTAAATCCTCATGAAGGGCCTCGTCAAAAAGGGTGGGAGAGTTTTTAAACCCTTGAGGCAACCTTGTCCAAGTTAATTGTCCACTGATGCCCCGTTCCGCATCCTGCCATTCAAAGGCAAACATTTCCTGGCTTTGGGGTGCTAGTGGTAGACTAAAGAAGGCATCTTTTAAGTCCAATACTGTGTACCACACATGAGTAGGTGGCAAGGCACTCAGCAAGGTATAAGGGTTTGGGACTGTGGGGTGGATATCTATGACCCGTTTATTTACTTCTCTGAGGTCCTGTACCGGCCTGAAGTCTTGCGAGTGTGGTTTTCGCACCGGTAACAAAGGGGTGTTCCATGACGAATGGCATGTTTTAAGGATACCACTGTCCAATAGCCTCCGAATATGAGGCGTTATTCCTGCCTTGGCTTCTGCAGGCATAGGGTACTGTTTTACCCGAATGGGTTCAGCCCCAGGCTTTAGCTGGACTATAATGGGTGGTCTGTGGGACGCCAGGCCAACGCCCCCGGTTTCTGCCCAAACATTCGAGAAAGATTCCATCCACCACCCAGAAAGGGGTGGGTGATCTGGCGCCACCAAAAGGCGGTACTTATCTTGAAGGGAAATCGTGAGGACGTGTAGGGGAGAGCCCTTAAAGTCCTTGATTTCGACACCTTCCTGTCCAAATGAGATTTGCGCTCCTACCTTGGTTAAAAGGTCTCTTCCAATTAATGGGTACGGGCATTCAGGAATTACAACGAAGGTGTGCGAGACCTGACCTTTTCCCAGGTCTACAGATCTTTTCGTGGTCCAGGGATACTGCTTGCATCCCGTAGCCCCTTGCACCCACGAAGTTTTACCGGAAAGTTTACCCAAGGGTTCCGTGAGGACTGAATGCTGTGCCCCCGTGTCCACAAGGAAATTAACGGGTCTCCCCTCCACTTTTAAGGTTAGCCGGGGCTCGGGGAGGGTCGAGCCCTGACGGTCCTAGTCACTGTCATCTTTTGTGCCCCCGAGCACCAGGACAGGAGTGTCAGAAACGGCGGGGTTGTTTGAGGTTATTCCCCGTTTCTTTGGGCAATGTTTGGCCCAGTGTCCTTTTTGAGTGCAGTATGCACATTGATCACGCTGTAGGGTCCTGCCTGTCCCTGTGGAGCTGGGGCGGCGGGAGGGGTGTAGCTTACCCGGGTTGTCCTTTTGAGTGACGGCGAACAGGATTCTGGCCATATCCCGAGTGTGGCGTGCGTTTTCAGCCGCCCTTACCTTCCGTTCTTCCTGGCGGATGCGGTCTTCTCTTTGCTCAGGAGTTTCACGGCGATTGTACACCTTTTCTGCCACCTCCATAAGATCTCGAATAGATTTTTCTCCCAGCCTATCTATTCTTTGTAGTTTTTGTTTAATGTCAGGAGCCGCCTGGTTAACAAAGGCCATTACCACCGCGGCCCTGTTCTCCGTTGCCTCCGGATCCATAGGAGTATATTGCCGAAAAGCTTCCATGAGGCGTTCTAGAAAAGCCGCGGGGGTCTCCTCCCTTCCCTGCTGCACATCCCCTACCTTGGCCAAATTGGTGGGCTTGCGGGCTGCTGCACGCAACCCTGCCATTAGAGTCTGGCGGTACACCCGGAGTCTCTCCTTACCTTCAGCCTGGTTAAAATCCCAGTCAGGTCGGGTCAAGGGAAACACTAAATCTATGCGGGCCGCGTTTGTGGTGGGTGTGCCATCTTCTCCAGGGACTAATTTCCTGGCGGCCGTCAGTATACGATCTCGCTCCTCAGTGGTGAAGAGGACCTGCAAGAGCTGTTGGCAATCATCCCAGGTGGGCTGATGAGTAAATAGAACAGTGTCTAGGAGATTAACAAGGTTTTTAGGGTTGTCAGAGAAACGTGCATTTTGTGCTCTCCAGTTGTAGAGGTCACTGGTCGCAAACGGCCAGTAGTGCATGGGCTGGTTGCCCTGCTCATTAGGCAATCCTGCCACACGCAGGGGCAGGACGGTGGAATCCGGGGAATTCGCCTTCACTGAGCGGGTGCCTGCCGCCGGACCCTGCCCACGAGCCCCACCCGCCTCTGGGGGAGGGTGGTCAGCCGACCGCAGGAGTTGGGGAGGGTTACTACAAGGGTTA